GTAGAGTCTAGCTGGATTAGGTTCATAATTTATATATCAAATTGGTCATAAATAAAATATTAAAAACTATATTACCTTACCCTTTGGTTTCTAGCAAAATAAGGGTAATACATCATAAAAAGAATTTTAAAAAATTGAAAGGTGATAAAATGTAGCCGATGGAATTCAAAGGTGTGTCCTCTAAATACTTTACTCCTCGAATCCAAAAAAAAAATAGTGCAATTTTGAAAATCCATAAGATGCAGTTGCTAAGGATCAAACCCAAGACCACATGTCATGACTTCAATCCTCACCAAATGCATTTTTAAAATTTTCAAAACTGTGCTACTTTTTACCTCAATTTTAAACAATAATCGAGGGGTATAGTCTTCTTTATAAAATTTTAGTTTTAAGCTTTTATTTTTCTCCGTTTTAATCTACAAAACATCAAATTTATCGACAAATTCTAAATCTTCATCATCATCATCATCATCAACAACAACAAAATCATTAGATTCTTCAAATATTAAATCTTAACTACAAAAATAACAACAAAAATAACAAAATCCATAAAATCTTTAAACATTAAATCTAAACAACAAAAAGAAAAACAAATAAACAAAATCAATAAATCGTTAAATATTATATTTAACAATAACAACAACAACATCAATATTAAACAATAAACTTGATACAACTACAACTAAAATTATTAAATTACTTTCATGATTTCCTAGCGAACACTAAACATTTTTAACAATAAATTACTAGAGAAACGAATACATTAAGAAACCAACCTTTAAAAAAAATTCTACTCATGCTTTTATCATCATTGTTTTTAATATGTTAAGTTTAAATCTCATCACTTTGCATCTAAGAGGGATAGTTGTGGCATTCACATTTTGATTGGCTAGTAATAGTTTAACTCGCATCACTAATATTCATGTGGATTGATGTGTTGACAAAGTCTTGACCATTATTACTTTATAAATTGATGACAAATACTCGTTATTTAATTTTTTTTCATCAAATTTGTCATAAATAAAAAAAAATAAAAAAATATATATTACCTTATTCCATAATTTCCAACAAAACCGAGATAATATAACTTTCAGAAACTTAAATTTAAAAATTCTGCCCAAAAAAACAAAAGAAAAGTTTTTCTATCCTTAAGACACATTAAGCTTGGAATTGTTTTTCTACATCCAATTTATTTTACTTTTTAAAAGGAAAAAATCTAACTACTATAACTTTTATCTATTAAATTTTTTGTTTGTTTTACAAATCCCTAACAACCATAGTGTGAACATTTTACAAGGGAAGGATGACATATATAGTATTTATTATTTTATGAACCTTCCTGCAAATTTAATTAATTAGATTAAATTTGTCAAATTGAAAAAAGTTAATTAAAAGAATAGGCAAGTGGATGCATAGTTTATTTAAAAGTAGTTTGATTAAGTTTGTCAAACTGAAACGGCATGATCGAAGAATATACAAGATATAAGATGTTATCCTTTAGAACTTGAATTACACCATTAAAAATATGGTCATGTTTCATTTAAATACAAATTCTTATAATTTTATAGTAGTTTTGAGGTGTTTCATATTAAATTAATTTGTGAATTCTAAAAACTACTTCATTCTTGAGACACCCTATGTTTGGGCTTTGTCACAGATAGATATCTTGAAGATAGAACAGGTACTGGAGATTTTGACCGCACTTGGAACGTCAAGAGCTTTAGTCTAGAAAAAGTGGCAAAACTCAAGAAAAAGCATACAAACCTGAGAGTGGTAATAAGCATAGGAGGCAATGACCCTCAAGATCAATTCAACCCTAAGGATAAACAAGACTGGATTGAGAAAGCCACATCATCAATCAAAGGGATCATCCTAGACTACGAAAACGAAGTCCCCGACGTTGACATAATTGACGGTATTGATATTAACTATAGAAAGGTCACTTCCATTGTCAATGATTTTTTCAATTGCATAGGAAAGGTGATAGAACAACTCAAGAATGATTCAGATGTTTCCAAATCCATGTGTGGTGTCCATTGCTCCAACAAAGCTTCTCCAATCCCACTACCTCAAACTGTATCTAGACAACAAAGACAATATTAACTGGATTGACTACAAGTTCTATGATGAGCAGTTTTATATAGCGGAGGATTTTGAAAACTACTTTAAAACTCAAGTTCATGAATATGACTCGGCATCTGATAAACTTTTGGTAGGAGTCAGCACCTGTAACGCTATTGAATGTAAAATCCTTGTTGATGGATGCAAATACCTCCTCAGCCGCAAATCACTTGCCGGAGTTTTTGTTTGGAATGCTGAGGCCTCTGCGCCCGCATATGAAACTGAGCGACAAATTCAAGAACTCCTTACTGAAAAGTGATTACTTACTAGGTTTTTACCTAGCTAATATTTTTTTTTATTTTACGGGTCATACATACCATAAATAATAGCAAAGCCTTATGAGTCATGCTATGTATAGTATGTCATATAATAAGACCTATGATTCGTCATGCACTCTTTTTACTGCTTATGTCATTGTATTCTGCACTTTTCTTTTAAGTATTACATTATGTTGTGATTTGTGAGATTTTAATTGCTTCTGTGATAAGCTATGAAGCATGGACATTTTTAGGAGTAGGTCTGTCACAGTGTCCGACACGCGTTGGTGTCTGAAATTTGTATGACACTCGTACGACACATGTCGGAATAGTTAAAGAAGTGTCGAAAAAATCAGACTATTGTCCATTAAAAAATAATTTTTTTCTTTGTTTCGACACTCTTCGAATTAATGGTTGACACCTATATAAAATTTATAACACATATGTTTGACAATTCAGACAAGTGTTTTAAACAAAAATTTGTTTTTTTCTTTGCTTTAACACCCTTTTTTTACATATTTTGGAAAAATCTCACACAAGTTTAAAATTGTTAATCGTGTACTATTAAAGACATTAATATTGATTAGAGTATTTTCAACTTTAATAATAAAAAATAGATTAGTAAAGATTAAATACTCTCTTATATATGCGTAATCGGTGTTCTATGTTTTAACATTATCGGTGTCTGAATGACCGTGTCAAACCGTGTCCTAGTATTCGTGTCGGACCGTGTCCTAGTGTTTGTGTCAGAGTTTGTACTTAATAAGTTATATGTACCATGAACTATCTGCAATATCTTAGTATCAAGTTAATAATAGGAAGCAAATATTATTTTTTTCAATTTCTCTATATAATAGCCTTTTACCTCAGTTTTTTATTTCACATTTTCCATTCCAATTTCGATTTCACTACAAGAAATACTCTGATTTCCTGCGGATTTACCTGCGGATTTTAATATAATTTCCCCAGAAAACATGTTTCCTGCGATTCTTACTGCTATTTTCTGAGCCCAGCTAAAACCTTCGTGGGTAATTAGCTTAGCAGGTAGAGTCGCAGGAAAGTGTCGCAGGAAAAAGTCGCAGGAAAGAGTTGCAGGTAATACACCTAAAATCGCAGATAATATCGCAGGTAACTGAAACTTTCGCAGAAAAAGTCGCAGCAAATTCAGGATCCGCAGGTAAATGCGCAGATATTTTCTGTCTCAGGTTTTTAATTTGTATTATTAATTTTGTTTAATTCTTATTTAAAATTTTATAAATATTAAATGTCAAAGAAACAATAATATAAAAATAAAAATCTAATTTGAATAAATCAAGGCAACACTAATTTCATTCAAATTTTTAAAGCAAACATTACTTTATAACAAGTAATTATAGAATTACATTACTAAAAATGATAATCAAACTACTAATAATTACTTGTTCAACCAAATTAATCAGAAAAAACAATTCAGATTTCAGACATTAATAAAAAAAAAAAGACAATCAAAGGCTGACATTTACATCAAAACATGAGTGAGAAGAGAGTGTCTCTAAGGATGTAGATTGAATGCACTTCTCATCTGCCGGTTCATTATGAAGAACTTTAGGTGCCATCCATTGAGGCTATAAGCAGAAAAAAAGTCTTTTATTCTTTCTGGCCGATCGGAATTTAATCTGTGAGCAAAATCTTCCACTTCCCTGCATCACAAAATAACATCAAATTACTTTGCTTTCAAATAAATCAGCAGTAGTAAGTGTAATCCAACGTGTTTAAATTATGCAAGGAAAATGATATGATGTTGAACACTACCAAATTAAGTGTAATCCATAAGTTTTCAAATTAACTACTACTACTATTTAGTAAGTCCAACATTATCTAGCCATCAACTTCTATTCTATGAGCTGAGCAGTCAATGGTGTTGTTTTACAAAAGTATACACCGCTCACACAATATAATAAAGCATATACGAAAACCACAAAAGTCAAGACCGTCGGAGCAGCCACAAACAAATTACAATATAATATACCTGCATGTGACTTCAGTTAAAAATAAAATAATAAATTCATAATAAATTATTCGAGATATGATAAAGCATGAATATTGTTGGCATTCAAGTATAGACGCTTAAGTTCTTATTTACATGTTGTAAGATTTTAGATTCAAAATATAATTTGAAAGTTTTTTATATGATTCTGTTTCCGTAAATTCCTTTTTAATTATTATTTTTTTATTATTCATATATGTAAAAAAATTAATAATTACTTTTATTTTTTAAACAATAACTCTTATTTTTTAAACAATATCTTAACTAATCATTATTTTCCCCCTAAAAGAATATGGTTGAAAAAATAACAGTAATTTCTACATTAAAAATGATAATTACATTCATTTTAAAACAAACTTTTTTTTCTAAAATAATGGTGATTTTAAAAAGGAGAAAGTCTCAATTATTATAGTTATATAAAACCCTTATTGTTTATATTTAAAGTATAAGGGAATAGGAGTATATAATAACTAACAAGCTTCTCTTTCTCTTCATACAAGCTCTTGTTTTGGAAAAGCAAAGATGGCAAGCTTCAACATGGAATATTATCTTCCAATAATAGTTATGGTGGTCATACAGTTTATTTTATTTGATTATCATGGCGCGGAAGACCACTTCGTGCCCCTAGAGCTCTGCACTTGGCAGCTGCCTGCAATTGCCATAATAATTCATAAGCTTCTTACAACAAAGTAATCCAGTAAATTTCAACTCGAGTGTAAGACTATTTAGTATTCACCACATTGGCAGCAAAGCATAGCATTTTCTCTGTTGAAAAGTTGGCGCAGATAGCTGAAAGTAATCAAAGAAATCTTGAATAAACAATAAAGCTATGTCGATTCAAGGATAAGATATGAAATAAAGCAGTTGCGGTGGCATATTACCGTAGAGAACAGTCTCCCGCGAATGCATCACCGGCACCAGTGGTATCAATAAGCTCTGATGGTGGTATGTTTTCCGTTGTTCCAATGTACAACCTACCACAAATTGTTCCTATACCTTCTGCTCGCAACTTTGTCGCCGACTGGAAATAGTATAAGAAATTCAGATCCGCTACAGTCCACTTTATAAATTCAGATACAAGAAAATGTGACAAATTATTTATGTGCAAAACAGGATTTCAGACAAAAACTGTTGAGAGTTTCGTTACGATTACCGATGATATGCAGGTTGGGATGCATACGCTCCCATTCTTTCGTGTTTCCAGAGATTCCAATAGTTTGTCAACATCCATTTCTTCTTCTGTGGATGGAACCTCTGCCAAAAAAGCAAAATAAGTGAAAAGAACATGTTTATACAATTAATATTGAAAATCATTTTCAGATAAAACCCTCCATTATCAATATTGTTACCAGTACTGATACTTCTCTTATCCATCATCCTTTCTCTTCTGGTTGCCTTTTTGTTATTCATAATAAAAATCATCGTATCCTCTAGACATTTCATCAAACATTTAGAGTGCAATAAAGGAATTCCAAAAAACATATCAAAAACACATTGAGACATTTCATCAAACATTTAGAGTGCATCAAAGTAAAGGCTTCAATTCAATTAATAAGAAATACAACAAATTCAGCGACATGTAATTTTTATGGCAATGAATATTCAAATACTTAAGAGTTTTTGGTTGCTCATGCTTTCCTCTATTAAGACCTTTTAATAAAAACAAACTACAACTGATAAGCCAAGAATACATCTACCTTGGAATATCTCCTCAACATTAGGGCTTCAAATGTCTTAGCAAGGAGGGTAGATAAAGGAATTCCAAAAAACATATCAAAAACACATTGAGACATTTCATCAAACATTTAGAGTGCATCAAAGTAAAGGCTTCAATTCAATTAATAAGAAATACAACAAATTCAGCAACATGTAATTTTTATGGCAATGAATATTCAAATACTTAGTAGTTTTCAAACTGCACAAGTAAAACACAACAAAAACAATCAAACCCAAGCAGACATAAATTATTCAAGAAATTAGCATAAAGAAATTATTCAAAACAAGAAAAAGAGATGCAGAAAGTTAAAACTAACTTGAAAGAGAGTGGTAGCGTAGGTGATATAGTTCCTCATTCTTCCTTGAGTGGTAATGCTGATCTCATTTTCGTTAATTGGAGTATCTGCTTTGGGTTTCTCCACCCTCTGGTACCTATCCATCTGAACACAAAAACAAAATCAATTAATCAGAACCACTGAATCGATTATAAAATATATCAATATTTTTATTTTATTTTATCATCTTTTAAATTATAAAATTGAATTAAAAATTAATAAATTGATCTATAGTATAATAATCTAGTTATTTCATCAAAATATTTTTATACACAAAATGAATAAAATTTTTTTTATATAAAATAATAAAATTGAAAGGATTATATATAAATTGATCTCTAGTATAAGAAAAGGATTATTTTATTAAAAGGATATATTGATCTCTAGTTTAATAAAAGCCTTTTTATCATCTTTTAAATTATAAAATTGAATTGAAAATTAATAAATTGATCTCTAGTATAATAATTTAGTTATTTCATCAAAATATTTTAATACACAAAATGAATAAAAGCCTTTTTATATAAAATAACAAAATTTAATGAAATAACAAAATTGAAAATATTTTTATATTATATATTTTATTAAAAGGATTATATATAATATAAAAATATATGTTATCAATTGAGTAAATGGATTATTTTATTATCTTTTTAAATTTTAAATTAAAAAAAAAATTATAAGTTGAAGGATTACACATCAATTTATCATAAACTTATATTTTTAATTTTTTCTAATTTTTACAACAATAAAATAAATATTAAATAAATAAATTTTATTTAAAAAATAACTAAAAAAACTTAATTAATATTATAAAACCTTTTTAAGAAAAACAAAAATTTAATATAAAATTAAAAAATGTCTGAACAACATATTCTTGAAATCAATATTTATTTTATAATTTTATTTATTAATCGTAAAAATATAATTAAAAATAAAAAATAAATTAAATAATTCGAAGTAATAATCGCAGAAACATTTACAGCAAATTCCGCAGCAAATCTCGCAGCTATTCCTGCGACATTTTCAGAGACTTTTATGGTTTCAATAGATGACTAATTCCTGCGAAGGAAATAGCAGACAATTCCGCAGGACATTTATTTTTTAATTTTAAATTTAAAGTCGCAGCTAAAATCCCAGAAATTCCTGCGAGATTTACTGCTATCACGTTTTTCGCAGGAAATGATGTTTCACAATATAGAAGCGCAGGGAAAATCGCAGGTATTTCTGCGAAACCTTTTCCGCAGGAAAATCCGCAGGTAAACTGTGTATTTCTAGTAGTGTTTGTTTTTAGATTTCAAGAAATTAATTACTCTTGGTATAAAAGTGATTTAATTATCAATATACATTTGGTATAAGAGTATTGTAATTATCAATATATCAAAATGATTATCAAATCCTAAATTAGAATTACATTATTTATTTATTAATGGGAACAATATGTTTAGTTTAAAAAGGTTAGATTTTCTTTTTACGAAAAGTATAATGTATATAAATGAGACGTGGCAAAGTAGCCACAACAAAAATAGATACTGAGTCAATCATGAAAAAAATCCAAAACAAATAAAAAGTCCAGAAAATCACAAAAAACACTAAAAAACCATACATTAAGAAGAAGAAAAACTACTCATCAAATGTTTAAAAACCACATCACATTTAAAAAATCATATTGAAAATTTAACGTATTAAAAGCATTAAAGAATTATTAAATATTCTCAAAATAAAAACTTAGAAATATGATTAGGTCTTCTTACTAGAAGTTGTATAATTTTTATTTTTTTTTGTCATTTCTCTTATCCTTAAGTTTTTATATTTTATATATTTATTTTAGCTTGCTATTTTTATAACAATATTTTTTAAATATTTTTAATAACAATAAGGTTATTAAATAGCAATAAGAAAGTACATATAAACATTATCTAATAAATTAGAATTTGTTTTGTTGTGAATCAGATACCTTAAAACTAAGTATATACAGTTTCTTAATGATCAAGAAACACACAAAGGTTAGGGTTAATAAAGAAGAAAACAAGAAGGATTGGTTATTAAACTGTTATTCTTTCCTTTCTCTTAGAACAAGATTACAAGTATACAAGAATAACAAAATAACCTCTCTCTCTTGAAATTAAGATTTTATCTTCTTATTTTTCCTTATGATAAGATTGAGAAACTAGTATCCTATTTATAAGAAAAATATCACACTAACCTAATGAGCTTTTTAACAATTACCCATTACAAGTTAACTTATGGTACAAGCTAACTTAAACAATTGGGCTTACAAGCAAGACCCAATTCAACATGCTAACAACCCTAGCAATATGGACTAATGCATGTTAGAATAAACTTCGACTACAACACGCATTACTCGCGAACAGACTTTGATCATACTAGAGTTCGATCCAACATCTCACAAATCTCCACTTTGGATCTAACTCTATAACATCAAGAAACTAGCTTTCTTCATGCAGCTTTATTAACTGCATAAGTGGAAAAACTTACAACTGGACAACGTCTTAGTGATCATATCAGCAGCATTATGATCTGTCGAAACCTTCAGCACTTGGACTTCTCCACGCTCGGTTTCCTCTCTGATGAAATGTTGTCTCACATCAATGTGCTTGGTTCCCTCATGATAGGGTGAATTCTTCGACAGGTGTATTGCACTTTGACTATCACATTTAACAGTGATAACTCGACCTTGAAGTTTTAGCTCCTTTGCAAAACCTTCAAGCCACAATGCTTCCTTCACAGCTTCAGTTAGGGCAATATACTCCGCTTCAGTGGTTGATAAGGCAACGACCTTCTGAAGTGTTTCTTTCCAACTGATTGTTGTCCCAAACATAGTGAACACATACCTAGAGATAGATTTTCTAGAATCCATACAACCTGCATAATCAGAGTCGACATATCCTTCGATTGCTGCTTTACTATCTTCACCCAAGGCTCCACCATAAATTAGGACTCTATTTAGAGACCCATTTATGTACCTTAAAATCACTTCAATGCTTGCCAGTGAGCCTTTCCAGGATTCGACATGTACCTGCTTACAAGACTTACTACATATGTTATGTCGGGTCTAATACATACCATATCATACATCAAAGAACCTACTATGTTAGCATATGGAATGCTATTCATATAAGTTCTTTCAACATCAGTGTTGGGACACTGATCTATACTCAGCTTGAATTGAGGGTTTGTCGGAGTCACAACAGGCTTTGAATTCGACATACCAAACTTTTCAAGAACCTTCTGTAGGTATGTCTCTTGAGATAAACATAATTTAGACTGTTTTCTATCTCTCCGGATGCCAATCCCAAGAATCCTGGACGTAGCTCCCAGATCTTTCATGGCGAACTCTTTATTGAGTTCAACCTTCACCCTCATTACCTCTTCGACGTTGTTGCTTGCTATTATAATATCATCCACATAGAGAAACAAAATAACAAATAAATTACCCGGTCGAAATCTGAAGTAAACACATTGGTCGAACTAACTTCTGATGAAACTTATGTGTGCCATGAACTTGTTGAATCTCCTATTCCACTGTCAAGGAGATTGTTTCAGTCCATATAAAGATCTATTCAGTTTGCACACATAATCTTCCTTCCCCCTTTCGACATACCCTTCAGGTTTCCTTATCAGAATTGTTTCATCTAGATCACCATACAAGACGCAGTCTTAACATCCATCTGTTCCAGTTCAAGGTCGAACTGGGCCACCATGGCAAGCAACATTTGAATGGATTTGTGCTTCACAATAGGAGAGAGCACATCATTAAAGTCGATACCTTCTTTCTGAGTGAACCCCCTAGCAACCAATCTTGCCTTGTATCTCTTCGACGCCACTCCTTCGATTCCTTCCTTAACTTTGAAAGTCCATTTACAGCTGGCTAACCTGACTCCAGTAGGTTTCTTGATCAGTTCCCAAGTGTTGTTATCATGAAGAGATTTCATCTCATCATCCATGGTCTTCAGCCATTCAGTATTTTTTTGACTCCTCATAACTTCCTTATAGTCTCTAGGTTCTTCGTCTAGAACCTCACTTGCAGAGATTAAGGCATAAGCTATAAGATCTGCATACCCAAGTCTCTGAGGTGGCTTGATAACTCTCCTCGACCTGTCTCTTCCTAGAAGGTAGTCATTATCAGTCTCCTCATCTTCGACAACATCTTCTGCGTCTTTTTTTGACTTCATTTGGGGTACGCAATTCAGCATCAACATGCTCCACCTCAAGAGGAATCTCTCTCTATTCCAGTTCTTCGTCAGCATCATCAAATTTCTTGAAAGTCATCTTTTCTTAATTGAAAACTACATCTTGATTGGTGAC